TTTTTGCTTTTTGAACTTCAGTTTTCAATCAAAATTTAAAAATTTTTTTAAAAAATCAACCAAAGACCAACAAAAAAATCCAAAAATCAAAATTGTTGTCAATCACGGAAAAATAAATAAAATAAAAAAAGAAATCATGAAAAGAATACAAGACGCGAGAAAAAGAAAATGGAAGGATTTTTATTCTTTTTAGCAGTTCGATTAACGCAATGGTTTTTGATTCATCGGAGGATGAGTAAAAACCTGGCGTTTAAAAAAATGGGAAGAAAAAAAGAAAAAATAATAATAAAATCAAGTCATGAATTAATTTAAATTAATTTAGAAGGAAAAAACAATTTTCATGAATTTTAAATTTTAAATCAAAAAAAAAAAAAATATTTAAACAAAAATTTAAAAAAAAAATCAAATTAGCTTAAAATAAATAAATTTTATATAGAAATTAATTTTGAAGATTTTTTATCTTTTAAACATCCAGAGAAACAAAATTCAAAAAATTTTCTTTTTTTTTTTTAAGAATTATTTTTCTTTTTCTTTTTGTTTTTTTTTTAAAATAGTGTTTTAAAAATTGTAATTATTTTATTATAATTAATTGAATCCTTTCTTCAAAAAAAAATAAAAAATAATTATTAATTTTATATCAAAAAAAAAAAATTTTTCTTTTTAATTAAATTTTTTTTAAAAAAAAGTTTTTTCCTTAGATAAAATAAAATAAATTTTTTTTTATATATATTATTCCTGATGAAAAAAAATTCATTTATGAAGAATTTTTCAATAAACATTTCTGAATATTTGAGATTTTACTAAAGATAAATCTTAGGATAACCATTGCAAAATGTGGTTTTTAAATCATGAACTTTATATTATATCTGAAAAAAGCCTTTTATACAGTAAAAAAGAGAAAATTTTAACAAAATTTTATAAATGATACATTTCAATTTTTTTTTTTTTTTTTTTTAAGCATTTCACCCCAAACAAGGCGAGAGTGCCACCGGCACGCAAGGGGTTACAGAGAGTGAGAGTAAGAGTAAATGTGGGTGTTTGAGGAAAGGATAAAAAGAAAGACGTGGATCAAGGCATCAGAAGATGTCGATTGACATTACATTTGAATATTTGAACATTATAGCTATCAGGGACGCGAGTAAGGGAGGGAGTTCCACTGCCGGGAAGTGTGAGAGAGGAAGCCGTTGGAGTAGCAGAGGCGGTTACATTTAACTGTTTCGAAAGGGTGGGACCGAAATGCCAACCTAGTAGCACGCTTAAATTCATGCAGTTGGGGTACCAGTGAAAATAGCTCGTCAGAGCAGTTGCCATGAAAATATTTGTAAAAAAGACAGAGGGAAGCCACATCACGTCTGTGAGAAAGTGACTGTAGTCGAGATGCCAGATCAGGACCTATCACATTGCATATCCGTCTTTGGATTTTGTCGAGAACCTCGAGATGAACAGCGGGGGGCACCAGACCATATATGGCAACAGTATTCAATGCAAGGACGAATGGTAGATTTGTAGATTTGAAGGATGGACTCAGACGAGAAAAACCTTCTGGCGCGACACAGAGAACCAACTTTCCTTGCGGTAGATGAAGCTATTGATTCAATGTAGTTGTTCCACCTCAGGTCAGTGGAAAACGTGAGACCAAGAAGGCGCAGAGAGACGCTCTCGTGGAGTTGAGCATCAGCCATGCTGATAGGAGGCAGGGTGGGTTCTCTATGGTGGGTAAATGAGAGCATTTTCGTTTTGGAGGCATTAAAGTTTACAAGCCATTTCCTGCCCCAGTCAACCACAGATTGGAGGTCCTTTTCGAGACCAACGGCCAGGTTAACTTTGTCAGCAATGCCGGATTTACTATTGAGACAGGAGTAAATGGTAGTGTCGTCTGCGTAGATGCCTACTTGAGAACTGATGACATCAGGAAGATCGTTGATGAAGATCAGAAACAGTGTAGGACCCAGGATAGAGCCTTGGGGAACACCAGCGTTCGTATGAAAAGGAACTGGAGGAGAACCCGTTTAGGACGACCTTCATTTCACGGTTTGACAGGAATGATTGGATTAAATCAAATAATCGTCCTGTAATACCGTATCCCTGAAGCTTACGAAGAAGGCCGGCATGCCAAACCCTATCAAACGCCTTAGAGATATCTAGAGCCACAGCTCGAGCTTCGCCGTTATTATCAAGAGCTTGGTATACAAATTCAGTTATGGCCGTAAGCACGTCAGCAGTAGACAGGGCAAAGCGGAAACCATATTGTTTGTCAGAGAGTAGATCATGGGAGGTAAGGTGCTTAACCACTTCGGCATTGATTAAAGCCTCGAAGACTTTGCCAAAGATTATTAGGAGACTGATAGGGTGAGAGATGGGTCAGAAGGGTCCCCAGAGTTCTTAAGAACAGGAACAACAGATGAGGTCTTCCAACAGGCTGGAAAGCAAGAATCAGCGAGACAATACTTATTATATAGTTTGGAGAGAACTGGAGCCAGCTCAGGAGCACATTTCTTTAGGACTACGGCTGTTATCCCGTCACCACCACTTGCTCTATGAGAGTTTAATTTAGAGATGATGTCCAATACCATCGACGGGGTTATGCTCATCTCACTCAATAGAGGGGAAATCAGGTGTGGGTACTCCAGATGAGTTGAGTTGGATTATAATTTCCGAAAACTATGATGATGATTATTAAGGTTTTTACAACCACGAGAAGTTTATTTGAAAGTTTTTATTTATTTATTTCATATTTCAAAATTCCTATTTGTGATATCATAGATCATATAAGTAACTGATATGATAATAATTTACAGTCCAATTCTTTAGTAATTTGATTCCCATTGAATTTCTATATATAATTCAAAGAACGAAACGCATCGTCTAAAATTTTTGGTATTTATAAAAGCAGTTCATCTCCCATTTTTTTGTTTCAGGTATTATTATACTTCAAAACAAACACTATTATATATATATATATATATATATATATATATAAATATATTGTGTGTGTGTGTGTGTGTGTTATGTGTGTGTGTGTAACTTTGCCCGGTGAGTGCTTTTTTTTAATTAAACATGATCCATGTAAAATAACACAGATAAAATTTCTATTAAAAAAAAAATTATATTGTTCTTTTCACCACTTGGTGTTATAAAATCTTTCATGCTCATAACGATTATTATTAAGTTTATGCTTGATGATTACTATGTGCATGAAACTTTAAGTAGTATCGATCGATGAAGAACAACTATATATATATATATATAGGTGTGTGTGTGTGTTGTTTTGTTTGGTTGTGTATGTATGTATATATTGAAGAAAAAAGGAATAAATATTAAACTGCATTAAATATATATATATATATATATATATATATATTGATAATAGGTAAATTAAAGTTGCGAAATAAATACTCACCATTTAACGATATTTTGACATTTTGAATAAATTATAAGCCATGACATTATAAATAAGGATGTCGAATACAATCATATGTATCAAACAAATATTACAAATATAAAATAAAATAAGAATTATCATAAAACTAAATTAGAATAATATTATTTTATGTTTAAAACCATCTTACTTATAAAACGCAGATTGTGTGTGTGTCTGTGTGTCTGTACGTTTATATATTGGATCGGATTTCCTACATTTTTCAACCGATTTCAACAAAACGTCACAAGACTGCGTAAAATTACCTTGCGGTGGTTCTGACAGCGCCAAAATTTGGAAAAACACAATTGTTTTTGCAGGAAATCAATTTGAAAACACGATAAAACACGATTCTGTCGCCAGAATGAAAGGGAGACAACTCATATCGAGTTATACTTATTATAAAACCCAGGTTGTTTGTGTGTCTGTGTTCGTTTATATATGGGATCGGATTTCCTACATTTTTCAACCGATTTCAACAAAACTTCACTTTTTTTTGGCAGGTAGTGTTTCTTATTGTCTTGCACACTTTTTCTTTATTTTTACATTCAGAAGGCTTTAAAAATTCCATTTAAAAGACAATTGTTTATAATAAAATTCTATTCAATCGATAGACTCATAACGATTGAAAACAATGTTTTTGTTTGAGTTTGGGTTTGACCAATTCGTAAAAAAAAACAAAAAACCAAAAAAAAAAAAACTAATTAAGACATGCGTGTCCGTCAACCTTAAACAATAATCTTTGTCAATTTTATTTTTCAGTCTTCATGATGGTCGATACTTGATCTGTCTCTTACTGTTACATACCCCGGGCAACACCGGGCTCTACTGCTAGTTTTTAATAAGAGTGGGAAACGCTGGCCGTAATGAAATTGCAGAGGTACAATTTATAGGGTTTGATTACCAATTATGCTGAGTAAAAGCATTTTCCCACACTTTCAGCACAATTTTAGGGATGCGTATTATGGATGAAGGCGTATTATACATGGGGAATTACAGTACATTCTTTTTTTTTAAATCGAAGTGTCCTAGAAAGTTTTGATGCAATTCATTAAATTCTACTTGCAATATCACAGATTACATAAGCACTTAGCCCTGAATGCTCTTTCTTATTTTTATTTTTCATCTTCCTCCTTTACTTTTAATGCAGTTTAATGTTTATTCCTTTTTTTCTTCAAAATGTATTTGTAACTTTTCACAAATAATACAAACAATGCGACATTAAAAATCCTATCTTTTTCATTCTTTCCATTAATATATAATTCTGTTTTTTTCTTTTTCGTTTTTCTTTTTACTTTGTTTTCTTTATTCCTTTTCTTTCGTCTAACCTGTAACATAATCAAATGATCCCTCATCTAAAATCCCGAAATTGTCTGAACACAATGACGTGCAAATAGTGACAAGTGTGTGTGTGTTTGTTTGCAAACATTCTTTCTATTTCTCTTGCACAATCACGTACACGCGCATGCGCCCTACCGACTTGCGATTCTAAAATCACGTGATCACACCCCATCAAACTTTACTGCCTTTTTCTCTGTCAATATCTGAAATTTCCAACAGGGCTGTTCCCTTATCTGTTACCATGTCCACTTCCCTTCGTGTATACACCGTACTCGCCTTGGTGGTTTGTGCCTTGACCCTGGGCCTCGGTATTGTGATCGGTTACTTCATTCAGGCATCGGCGGAAACTTTGCTCCTTCCAAAAGACCAGCGGGCTTGCGACATTGGATACGGAAGTCACCTACCCCAGGTACAAAGGTAAACTGATAATTAACGTAATCCTACACCAGTTTCTTTTTTTCCCAACCGAGGTTCCATGAGAGATTATTTAGTATTCCGCAAATATTTTATACATGCATGAAAAAAAGGGATCAGACTTAGCTTTATTTGAAGTCTTTAAGGAAACGGAATTAGAATGTTCTTCTAAATGAACAAATATATTAAAAAAATATTTTTCTAAATACTGTTAATCACTTTTAGATTATAATACATATAATTTTTTGAAATCATTGATGCGTTAGCTGTACAAATATGTTATGCAGGAGATCAATTAGATAAAAAAAAAAGTATTTAATGCGTTCCTCCTATCCAAAAATGTTGAGAATAGCTACTTTACAAGCAATTCGGGCTTTCTAGAAGCAAAACTAACCTCTGAAAAGGAGAAATCCCAGAAGGTATCTGTTCCCTTAAGAGCAAAATAGCTGTATTAAAATTTCTTTATGAGAATACTCGATTCAGCAACAGAGATAAAACTTCTCCTGCTGATCCACTTGCAAGTACTTATTGATATTTATAACCTGCCCGAAAACTTAATATTGTTTGTACATGACTGACTGCTTAAGGAAGAGCCTTTTATCTTAGTCTGAAACTTATGATTATGGTTAAGCAGTGAAAGTGTGACAAAACTGGCGTCAAGAACTCTTAGTCTGCAATCTTTCAAAGAACGTCTGTATAAACCAGTCATGGACAAACTGCAGTCCTTTAAGTAAGTATATTGAGTATATTCCTCTGCAATCGTTCAAGTATATTGCTCAAGTTCCTCTCTCTAAAATAGTCATAGGAAAACGTAATTCGTTCGGCTTTTCAATAGCACGCCTAATTTTCATGAGGAAAATAACGTTTATTATTTTTTTTAATTCTCACTTGTTCACTCGCACTGTCTCATACATAACAATGATTAAGTACAATGTTTCTTGAAGTTTGTAATTTTTCATTTTAAACCGTTGATGATTTTCACTAAAGAAGAACATATGTGTAAGCATATTTTGCTTTACAATCAAGAAACGTACATATTTTTTTGTGCTTTACAATGTATAAATTAGAAACAAAGTACTTGCGGCAGTGTGTATTAACCACAAATTCATCAGTGATAATGTGATACCAAGATTTCAGTTTTTTTAATTATAGAAAAAATCTTTACACCAATGAAAAAAAATTCCCTGTGGAAATGAAATTACTAATGCTCCCTAAAAAATTAAATTTCGGCATTAAATGACCCATAAGGAGTTTATATGTCATTATAAAAAAAAAAAAACCTTCTCGGCAATACCACGTTGTCAAATATCAAAAATCCCAGATGTAGAATATGACACATTGTTTTTTTGTCTTTTGTTTTGTTGTTGTTTACTTTAACATGGGTACTTCATAAAACAGTTTATATCAAGAAATGACCTTAAAATACACAAAAGAGTGATGAATTTAAGTGATGAATCCCAAGACCCGGACATTCTTTTCGTAGATCCATGACAAAATTACGTTAAGTAACTGAATATTTTATAATGAAGAAGAAGAAAAAAGAGAAGAAATAAAGAAAAATCAGACAAAACTTATTTACGTCTGATTTTTGTCTTTACTGAGTTTCTTCTTTATTTTGAGCAAACACAAACACTATTAATTAGTTTATTCTATTCTAATCAGTCTCCCATATTGGAATTTTATTCCAGTATAAAAAAAGAAATAAAATAAAAATTAGTGGTGTTATTAGGTGCACAGGAAAAGAGGGGCCCTTACTGGGTGTGAAATTAAAGAGAAAGAATTTATTTACAATTAAATTTAAATTATGGATGAAAGAAGATCATAATAGCTTGCTCAAAATATTCTTTTGGGCGCCTAATGAAAATTAAACTAGGTAAAGAAAAATGTTCATTAGAAAATTAAGACTCATAATTTATATATATATATATATATATATATATATATATATATATATATATATATATATATAAAGTAAAGTCTGATGTACCGCTGTCCTTTAAAAAGGGCTGTGGTGAAATAATTTATTACATGGAACCTTAAAGTGGTCTGTTTTTATTTAATATATATATATATATATATATATATATATATATATATATACCTCAATTTCGAGTATGACCACTTTCTCTTTCATGATTACTCAAATAGAATCCTAGACCTGCATTGTTTTGGAAACAAATAGACAAATGCGACATATAGGTTTGACATTTCTCTGGATACAGATTTCCCTAGAAAGCATATGATTTGGCATTAAATGCACGCAAAAAGAGCCATAGTCAAAACGAACAAGACTACCTGAATATATATATATATATATATATATATATATATATATATATATATATATATATATATATATTCAGTTAATGATTATTTTCACCTTGTAAATTGAAATAAAATTTACAAGGATTTTTCAAACAATTCATCCTACTGTATAATATATATATATATATATATATATATATATATATATATATATTAATTCAAAATCTTATAATATTCTAAAATTAATTTCTTTTAAGCATTACAGATAACGGTATTTTTCACTGTCTTTAATAATTTAATTACTTATTTTTCAGATTCTTAGAACGGAACATTATTGAAGCATGCGCTGCCGAAACATGTGATATTCCTTTGCCTCGTATCTATGTGTCAGAACACCTTTACGACGAACAGATAGTTGTAGATGGATTACTGGACGAAACCGCATGGGCACAGGCGCCGTGGTCCGAGAAGTTTGTTGGTAAGTCAGAACTGCATTAGTTCAAAATGGGCGTTAGCGCTCTGACCACTCGTAGCCACGTGGTTAGAAAATTAGCGCTCCAACCATAAAACCCGAATTCGAATCTCGCCCTGGACGATTAATCTTGGAGGTGAACTTTTGATACTATCAACATGGGTATTAATCCCAGCGTGCAAACCATTGAGAAATGTCTGAAAGGCATACCATGGAGTGAAATTGCTTTGGTGAAACTGTTCAGAAGCCATCGAGGTCTGATGTTAGCACGATGTCACAAATCATCGTGAACGAGGGTTTGAGCGTACCCAAGTTGTGCTGACTGGTACGAAATGACCTCGTAACTTAACTGTTATTACAAATTAGGTAATTTTTCATGAAGATTCAATGAAATTAATAAATTGTCGTAGATTTGTCATTTATTTCCACTGGACGTTAACTAAAACTGAAAAAAAAGTAAAACTGATTAGATGAAAATCGAATAATGCATGAAAAAATCAAAATTTCTTGGCGAGCCGCACTCATGGATGCGGGCTGGATGCGGTCTGTGGGCTGTAATTTTTCCACTACTGGGCTACAATAAAAGAATCTAACGCTGTAACCGCTGAACGATGCACAAGATCGACTAGTTCACGAAGATATCATGTATAGACATTTTTTTCATCAATTCAGCGAAAGCAAAGCGAAGATATCATGTATAGACATTTTTAATAACAATTCACCCCAAGCAAGGACTACTGGAAATGAAAGAGAATGAAAAGAGTTAAAGTGAGTACATTAGAAGTATAAAGTTAAAGTATAATTTAGAAGGAACCGGAAGCCCAATCCTAAACAAGAAAGAAGGGATAAACATAAACTCCTGTTCAAAAGAGAAGGAGGGAATGACAACTAGATGATAGTTGAACCTATCTACTCCTATTGGGAAAAGAAATATAAAAAATAAATAGATAAATTCAGAGTTTAGGAGGAGACGTTAGAAGTATAGAGTTGACGTAGAATTTAGAATGAACCGAAAACCTAATCCTAAACAGGAAACAAGGGATAAAATCTACTCCAGTTCAAAAGATCGGGTCGAGTGTAAACCAGACGATAGGGGAACCTACCTTCTCCTTTTTGGGGTAATAATTTCGATTCACGGGAATTTGACGTTGGGTTAAATATGTATCTCATGTTATACTGTTGTTAGGTGAGTAACACTAGTTCTCTTCCTTTATGTAGTGATTAATCTCGTCAATTAATACTTTATCTTTCGTGCTTCTTTCACGTGGTCCTGAAAAAAGTTTGAAATGAACCTCTGCCAACCACCTGAATAAAAGACTTTTCCTCGGTTCGATAAGGCACTTAACATTACTCTTAGGTGGAGGACCTTTAGTTGTTGGGTTGTGCTCGGAAAAAACAGCGTGTTGCTGAACGATCTGGTTAACTGTAACAAAGAAAAACAGCGTCTGGTGAACTACGTAGAAATAACCAAGAAGCATCCGGCGGCGTCCGGCGACCGCCCGAAATAAAACAAGGGTTTGCTTTGATTTGGCAGACGATAATACAATGACAATCGCTGAATTGGTTTGTGGGCCACCGATGTGGAAAACTTGTGCACAGTACGATTTAAGTTTGTTAGAGGATTTGCGGTTGGTGTTTTAGCGACTGTCAGTGTGTTAAGAGCCTGCTGTAAGTATTCATTTTCGATACACTAACTCTATCCATACCGTTAAATGTCAAAAAAAAAAAAAAAAGTAAAAAGTGACTCAGATAGACGTGTTTATTTAATTGCTTTTTTAAGTTTTTCATTGGCTGAAAAACATTTTTTATTTAATTTTGAGCCGATTTTGAATATCGTATTTTAAGTTAAAAATTATTTCTCTGGTGGGCTTTTGTTCGTTCTTAACTTCTGGTGTGTTCATCATCATCCTTCGACCTCTTTGTGGTTGGTCAAAGTTCCATTAACAATCCCTCTCCACACTGCTTGGTTCTGCCGTCCCCAGATCCCCAATGTCCAACCAACTCATGGTGTCTGGGAAAGTCACCTTTCGCAAGAAGACACCTCCAGAAGGATTCCAAAGAAGTAATGATGTGACTACCTCCTCATACGCTCGGTGGCAGTGGCCAGTAAAATACAATTGTTTTTGTTTGAGCTTAAGAGAGATTGGCCTCAGTTCTCCGTAAATTGTTTTAAGCGGTTAGAATGAAAACTTATTTAAGAATTTTTTTTTATCAAAACTATGACTCATTTTTCAATTTTCTTTCTATGTGAGTTTGGGTTCTTCAATATTAGAAATCGCTTTCGACTAGCTGTGATACTCAGTCGCTCATCTATAAAAACAAGAATTGATGGGCATGTAACGGACGCTGATAGTTTTCACAGCAATTTTATCCTACTGAATCAATCTTGAAAAATAATGTGCGTCAATAAATATTAGTAAAAGAAGAAAAAAAAGGTATTAGAATTTAATATGAGAACCTCTACTACAATGTCTTACAAGTTCACGTTCTAGCCTCTTTTCTAATCTTTGCGCCGACTTTCACCCCTGCTTCCAAAACCGGCTCGCAAAGCCTTATCAAATATAAGAATATATTTTCTGACGAATGAGAGAGCTGAAAAATCTAAAAAGGAATTTGGCCACCCCTGTTTTAACTGTGGTGCCATTAAGTTGGGGGTAACGCACAAATCTTGTCAGACCCTTGCTTCCAAAACCAGCTCCCAAAACATTGATTCTTAAAGAGATAAAAATATTTTTTCTGACGAATGGGGGAACCGAGAAGTGTATAGCAATTCTGGAGGGAAAAGTTCCTGATATTCCTGAGCCTACTAATCTCGATAAATACTGAGATTATGCGACTCTTTAGCAGTGAGTATTTGACATCGTCTGTGATAATATCAGGTCGGCGACAGTAACACCAGTCATCTTCGGAACCTGTTTCAAGGAAGAAGTCTATATGCTAGGCTCTAAAGACAGAACGTCCGCCCCCACCCCCTACTAAAATCTTTCGAGATCTGCTTCTTAGGACTTTGAAATTCCTGTCATCGGCCACTACTACTTACTCACTCAAATACAGACTACGGATTTTCCGATTGTTTCCCCCTCAAGAAGAGCTCTGAAGAAATCTTATGTGTCAATCCCTTAAGAACAATTTACTTGCTTAAAACACTTTTTGGCGCTCAGATAAATATTTTGACAAAGCCTTTATATGAACACTTTTTCTTCCTTTAAGCTAAATGAATTTCTTTCTCTTTTTTTTCTGTCATATTATATATATATATATATATATATATATATATCCTTTACCTTTTATGTGTATGTAAATAAATATTTTCTTCTTTTGTTACACCCCGAAAAGGAGTTTGAGTCTTTATTCTATCGCTCTAAACTTTCAAACCGTTGTTGCTTTTATCGATTCTGTTACCTTTAACCTTAATCCTTTCATATGGGAAAGGCGAGACAAATTTCTCACAAAGAAGTCTGTGTTTTGTGATTGGGTTGCTGGTGGTATAGGTTGAGAACATTAGTCAACATAGCTTACCATACTCTGTTCCATCACTTATCACAGTTCCGCTCATTTTCAGTCACAGAGTAAAGTTCTTATATTAAAAAATTCCCACAATTTTTAACCTTCTTACCTGCAAAATTGGGTGTATCAAAAGAATGGTTATTCCCTTGACACAGCTATTATTGTATACATTTTTTACTCCCTCGGCAATGTTTATTGTTTTAAAAAGCGATGATAAGAATTTTAATAAAGCAAAAAATATGAAAGTAGAATTTTACATTTTCTCTATTCATCAGAACCTACAACAAACACTATTTATTTATTAGATTGTTTATTTAATCTGTCGGAAGATTTTCTCGGCATTTTTTAATTATTAGCAATGATTTTAAACTTTTTCAAAATAAATACTACATTATAGTTGGTTTATATATTTTGATAATTTTGTAATTTTTTATAAATTTTTTAATTAAAAGATTTCTTTTTAAATAACATGGTAAATAATATCGTACATGGTTCACATATTTTTATAATCTTACAAAAAAAAAATTGCCAAGGGAGTCAAAAGTGTATACAGTAATAGAGGGGTTAAGGGAATGACCGTCCTTTTCACACCATGTTTTTTGCGGGCACGAAGGTTAAACATTGCCAACACTTATTAATTCATAAACTCATATAGATACGAACATATGATCCATTTCGGATGAAAAGTAGTGTTAATCCACCAAACATGGGTTAAGTGTCCATTTCCATAATCTATACGAAGGAATTTCAGATTAATTTTTAAACGTCCTATCCCTTCAGACTGGAAGCGGTCATGGCTCTCCAAAGACTCGGTTTTCTTTATAATTTACGAATTAACGTGACTTTTTAGGAAAGACAGTGAAATAATTTCCTGTGCACTCTCCACGACTTGGAATTCAGAGTTTTCCTCCTCATAGCCACCTAGAGCTAGAGAGCCCAGTCTACCTTTCTATTTAACCCATAGCTATTATGAGGGGGTAGAAGAGGCGGATTCACGCATTTGCCAAAAGCATTTTTTTACAGAAGTGAGCATAACGGATTATCCCGGAATTTGAACCCGGCTGGCTGATTTCACTTTCCGTACCGATATTCGTTACACTACCTGCACAATCCAATTTGCATGTCCATTGCGCAAATGACTGTTCCTAACCAAAATTGAAAGCCTTCAAAAATAATCTGAGCATTACCACTTCTGGTTGTTAGCCCTCTATAAGTGTTAAAGCATATAATATTTGATGCTGCTTTTAAAAAAATGGAATAGAACATATTTTTTTTATAGAAATTGATTATTTGTTTTATTTTTTTATTTATTTTTTCTCTCTCTCTTTATCTTTAAAGATTTGGAAGGTCGGAGCGACAAAGTTCCTCTCTTGAACACTCGAGTGAAGTTACGATGGGATGATAGTAGACTTTACATTGGAGCTCTGCTAGAAGGGTCACATGTGTGGGCGAACAGAACACAACACGATTCTGACGGTTTATTTCATACTTTTCTTTTTCTTTATAAAGAACGATTTTTCTTCTTCATAAAATGAACATCTCGTATATAAGCAGGTGTAAACCCCAGTTTATTTTAAAAATCGTATTCATTTGCTTTCACTTTACTCGACCATTCTAGGGTGTCGCATATTTAAAAAAAAATCATGTCGTACAAGAGGAAAAAGTAATAACTACAGTCAGCAATCAAGAATTAGTCGGGCTATCGATAATAATAGGTTGGACCAATTAGTATATTTGTAGCGATCGAAATGTTGCGATAAAAAACAACAAAAACGAAAACATTAATTCGAACGAACAAATATACAATGATTAGAACACCTAGTCTAAGAATGATACAGACAATAACACAAAAAAATGGACATTCAGACGTGGTGTTATGGTTAGCAAGCTTGTTTTGCTAGATCAACTGCGGTTGAGTAGAGAGTTTAATCATCACAGTCTGCTTCATTGTTCTAGAAACTTTTGCACATTTCTATGTTCTAATGCGTCAATTTAAAATCTACCACAACATGGAGACAAATCTGTTTCTTATGACGAAATAGATTCCTTCTGTGGCTGCAATACATTTATCTTTTTATGTTTTTATTTTAATTTTAAATATCTTTTTAATTCTTATATTTTAACTTTGCAAATATTTTCATTTTCAGTTTTCAATGATAATGCTTTCGAGGTATGATTTCTATGCATCATTTTCTTTTCCTTTGTTGTTTGTGCTTTTTTTTGGGGGGTTACATTTATAATTATTAGTAACTAAAATTTTATACAGGTGTCCCCGTTCCAAATTGTAAACACATTCTTATCAGCTATTTTGAAAATGCAAATAAAAACATAATTAGTTTGAATTTATGAGTTAAGTCACTTTTCATTCTAAACGTTTCTTCCCTCTTATTTTCATCGCTTTTTTTTATCCCAACACTAAGGTTATTACAATATGGAGCGGAAGAAAATCAGATAAGAACGAAGGTTACAGACTTATTGATCCACCCTTGTACTTAACGATCGCTGAATATAAAATGATCTGATAAAGGTATAAAGAAATATATGAATATAAGAAATTCTGACAACTCAAGACTATTACGCCAGTTACTACTACTTAGTAACAAAATACGATGAAAGAAAAAGAGCTAAAAGGAATAATGAAGCTATATTTAATCAAAACAATACTGAGCTTTTGGACCTAATTTTAAGATAAAATATCAAATTAAATGTAAGGAATTACAGTCTATGTATAGCCAGAGTGCATATATTGTTGGGAACATCGTTAAGTTAAATAAGAAAATATATAGCAACAATTTCTCCTAATAATAAAATTGTCAAATTTAATAAATCTAAGATTGTTAAGAGCCAAAGTTAGCATAAATTGAGGGATACTCAATTGTTCACTTTCTCTTGAAAAGATATGAATCCATCTTTTCTCCTCTCCAGATAAGGGTTAATAATAGCAGGGTACACTAGGCTCTCTAGTTTTAGATGGTAACTAGTTTAGAAGAAGGGCTGTATGAATGTTTCCCGGTTGTGCACGTGTGTGTATACTTGTGTGTGTACTCGACAGTGTATAGAGTGGAATGAACATACCCAAGGTTCGAAATAACTGTTTAACATCATTTATTTGTCGTTGAAAGAGTGTGCAAAATAGTGGTATTTTGCGGGAAAAAATAGTTGGGTTACTTCCCTTGAGTAGGTGTTTCGTAGAGAGAGATTTCTCCGCTTGTTCCCACGAGGAATGAGAAATCTGATTGCCAAACTGCTAGGACTGTGGTGCGGGTCTTCTGCAGCAAGAGTTGTGAGTAGTTTTTCCATTGGGTAGGTATCTCGAAGGGAGGTTTCTCCGCTTGTTCCCACGAGGGGCGAGAAATCTGAGATCAAGCTGCCAGCATAGGCCACGTATTTTCTGCAGCAAGGGTTGTGAGTATTCCTTCGTGCTAGGCCTTGAAGGTAGCGTCCGATGAATATGAAGAGTGGAAAAGAGGCTGACATTGAAGGTAGAGGCTGCTGAAAGGTAAAACTGGAAAAAGGGACCGAATAGGATTCGGTCAGCGCTTTTATGATTTCTTCGACTTTCGGTTGTACTCCGCTGATTACTTCAGTTGCTGCTACTTCTGAATCGAGTAAAGTAAGGAAACCCCCACATGCCACAATAGCCAACAATTGAAATAGTTGTTATAGGACAGCTATGAACTGGACGTGGAGGTAACAAATTCACACTAAAACCTGCCGCAGAACCCGTGCAGTTCGACTGTGACACTATGCTTCAAAGCTCCATGAGTTACTTCCGGAGTGTATTCACAATTTATTTAATGATTTAATACGTTACGATTTCAATTACGTCAACACATTTCGTTTACGACTTCAGCATAAACTTTGTTATCCATTATAAATATGTTATTGATATTTACTAAGTTTATCTTAGTCCCGCACAGAGTCAAAATAGAGGGAAATATGAAGTAGAATTTTTTTGTTAAGCCAGTCTTCCAAATCAATAAGTTCTGTCTGTTTGCTTTGAAAATCAGTATTCGAAATCCAGGCTTTTTACTTGAGCTCGAACACCGATCACTTGGAAATAAATAACTACCTCCCTATCAAGCAGGTCAATAGAAGTCAATTATTAATATTTGCTAAATTTAGCTTACAAACACAATACAGTGTAACCCGGATATAAGAGAGTTGTCGGGACCGGAGAAGAAGTCTCTTATATCCGGGTTTCTCTTATATCCGGGTTTGGTCTATTTTGTTTAGGTAAGTATGGGCTCTAATTTGGGACCAGAGAAAATCTCTCTTATATCCGGGTTTCTCTTATATCCGGGTCTCTTATATCCGGGTTACACTGTATTACTAAATTTAACACAAACAATATTGTGGAACGCTCATTAAAAAAATCAAACTTACTTTTTAGTATTTAAAGGTATGAGCGACAAATTTATAAGACCCGTTTTCATCTGAAACAAAACAACAAAAAATATGCTATATTTCAACAGGTTGATAAAATGTGTCATTTTGGATGGAGATCTGTTTATTTACCATTCACCTCTTTCACTATTTCTAATTTATATCCTTTCATTGTCATTAATTTTGATTCGTACCTTCTATCTTAACTTTTTATTTTGTTTATATATTTATTTTTGTTTTTTTTTGTTTGTTTGCTTGCTTGCTTTTATCGCAACTTTTACTCAGGCCATCAATTTGCACCGACTGTATTTGAACCCGGTATTTCATTGACGAGGTCCTTGCTTTTCATATAGCTTCCCACTATTTCGCTTAGTTTTAGTTATTTAATAATGCATTAACTTAATTATTTTTGGTAGTAAAAAAAAGAAAATAGAGGATTAAAGTCTTGTCATTTTTTACCTAAAATTTCTTTGAAAGTTTCCTCGTTCAGTCTGTATAAGGCTCATGTAAAACCAGGATGAAAAGGATTGTATATGATTAGGAATTAATGCAAATGTTACTAACAAAACAAGGTTATTATATATAAATAGGAGTAGATAGGTACGTCTATCACCAGGTTCACATTCCTTCCAGGTCTTTTGAACAGGAGTAGAGGTTTATCCCTTGATTCCTGTTTAGGATTGGATTTCCAGTTCTTTCTAAAGCCTGTTCATTCTCTTTCCCCCATATATTAATAGCCTAAAACCTAATCTAGGCTAAACCTGTCCCTTTGTGAAAGTTTTAGCAAGATTGGTCCAGTGAATTGATTTTCCATAAAGGACGTACGTACATACGTATATTTATAGTATAAATAGTATAAATTAAATGTAAATATTTGTTGCATTGAAATCAAGAAGAAAAGGATTGTTGTCAGGTGTCAAAAATGAAGGCATGCGTTACAAAAAGAAGAGGACAGTGATGTGAATAATTTTTAATGTTGATGTGTTATTCATGTAAAGCAATTCATTTTTATTAAAATCTGACAATTTCTAAACAATCTACAAGTCATTCAAAATTCTAGTGCTTATTCTTATCATATTCAATAAATCAATAAAAGTTCAGAGAACTAACCGACTCCAGAGTTTCGCGTCAAAAAGCTTGTCAAGGCTAGGTATTTGATAAATAGATTAATCGGTTAATTAGATAGGTCCATTGAACATTTATTGATTTATTGAATATTATAGCTTTTTTGGCAAAAGTTCTGCTGGTTTGAAAATATGATGAATTCTTTTAATTTTCACATATTTTTGGAGTTGTATTATTATTATTATTATTATTATTACATTCTTGTCATTTCAGGTTTTCTTGGACTCTTTTGGATCTTTTCACAAGTAGGTTTACGTTCTTGCTGGAATTCTTCCTTTTGTGTACATTTATTGAACCAAACGATTCTTTTTGTAAGACAATCTATAACCGTGTTTGATGTCATATAATTGTCGGGAAAAGCATTCTTTGCTCAACTTAACATTGTTACTCTTTTGGCATCTCGACGTGACGTAAAGGTTAACAAGCTTGTCTTGCTAGAACAGTTACGACTGAGTAGTGAGTTCGATCCTCACTGGGTACCCGATACTTTTGGCCTTGTGTCACATCTAAGCTACGCTTAGAAAATCGTCTTAACATGGTTACTCTTTTCCTATCTTAAGCGAATGCTCGAAAATTATGATTTTGTGTCAAAATTGGTCGCGCCTTTATGAGTATTTACTAAGTATAGATTTGTCCTGTGCAAAATCAAACGTGAAGATTGAATTGTACCAATGTTAAGTGCATAGATCGCGCCCGTTTATAAAATCAGCATCTGAATTCGTAGCTTTTATCTGAAACTGAGTATCGATCGCTGACACGGATGGGAAATAAGAAATATGCAACCTTTTTAACCACGATCACATCCAACACTCTCTTTTTTTCTCTTTCTCTCTCTCTCTCTCTCTCTCTCTCTTTCTCTCTTTATTTTTATCACTTCCTCTCTTGTTCTCTTTATTTATTTTACTCTATGCCTTTGTCTCTCTCTTTGTCTCTCTCTCTCTCTCTCTCTCTCTCGTTCTCTCTTTCGTTCTTTTTTTATCTCTCCTATTTAGAGTGCCACTTGGTTGACTGTTAAACATGTGCACACGAATACACATATAGGCTCTTCTGAACAATTTCTGTTTCCGCACAATTTCAATATGATGCAGTTATTTCATTTAAGAAAAGGCACAAACAAAACTGTTACTATTATTATCATAAAGTTACTTTTCCATCACCGTAACGTAGCTTCCCTGTGCCTTTTCTATAAATATTTTCATGGTAATTGTTCTGATGAGCATTCCTCTTTTGTACGCAGTCTTTATGGATTTAAGCACAGTACTAAATTGGCAGCTAATCATATTACAGTTAAAATTGTTAGATATAACCGTAAGTTCTATGTTAACAGTTTCTTCTCTCGCACTTTTCGTTTGTGAAAGTCTCTTCCAGCTTCTTATTTCCCAGTCAACTTTTATCTTCAAGAATTTAAATACAATGTCAAATATTTATCGTCTGTCTTCTTAATTCCAATTCTTTTATTGTTCTCTTTCCTCAATATTATTTTTATTTTTCTCATATTCTGTCACACTCTGTAACCTCTTGCATCTTAATGGCATTATTGTCTTACTTGGAGTGAGATTATTTTGAAATGAAGAGCAAAAAAATAGCTACATAACTGTTTTATTATTATTATTATTAATAGTGGTAGTAGTAGTAGTAAAATAGTTAGAAGAAGAATATTAATTTCGTAAATTAAACATTTAATAAGCAGCTGTCGCGTTAAGATAAACTTCTGAGGAAAAAAAGGTATATGAGTTCCAGTTTTGCTGTGGGTCTATTCTTTATTTTCAATCTGTAAATGACGCTTTAGAAGTTAGGATAAAAACAGTTTAAAATTAAGATGAAACAAATACCACTATTACAACTACTACTACTAATAATAATAACAATAATAATTGACAATGTTTAATCGAAGAAATTAAAATGCTAATGTTACCACTAACGCTACTAGTGTATATAAATAAATAGTTGGCTGTGTATCAGGCAATCGCGAAAAATAAAGAATATGATTTTATTTAAATGACAGCCATCAGTAACTTCTCTAACCTAATCGGTAAGACAGCTGTCACATTAATATACTAGTTCGAGTCTAACTGATGGATTATTCTCTATTTCCAATTCGTGTTGTTTACTACTGATAAAAAATTAACTCTTTGTGTCAGTTTAAACTAACAACTTTTTTCCACATATTCTGGTCATTTAGATTAAATAAACATTTTATTGATTTCAGATGAAAAGTTGTAAATTTTCCAACATATTTCAGTGAAAATTTTCACTTCCCAGATTTATAGTTTAAATATATAGGGGTGAAAAGAAGACGGCAGTTTAAACTGACTCTAGGAAGATATGCTTTCAGGAAAAATAAATACTATATCAGTGATTATGGTTACGACGCATTAAAATATGTCAGATATTGTTATTATTATTATTATATTCCATGCCTTTGTATGTTGACACCGGAATATGCATGTGATTATCACTGGCAGTTGAGTGAAATCAATTCACCTCAAACCTCCAGCATATGCCACAATATCCTCGTTAACATCCACAATGCAGTAGATCTCGATAATCTCAATTCTTCCTAGAACTTATAATTTATCTAATTTCTTCTCTTGTATTTTTGGCAAAGATGCAAGTGCGTACGCTATTATAGGCACGACCCTAATTGTTATGTTCTTCATTATAGCACATGGGAAAGTTCCTGGTATTTTTCACTTTTTTCCTTCTCAGTTATGTGCCATGCGTGATACACGCTTAGGCGATCATGTATCTTTCGATACATGACTGACGAGGCAGATTTTTTCCCACAGTAAGTTGCCATTTCTTACTGAGGTAGACCAGTTGCCATCCAAGGCTATAGAACCCGGTCTGTCCTGCTATTTACCCATTATGAGAAGCAGAGAATTCATAACTTTTCACAGGGGTATTAGCATGTAAATGAATGTAATGGATTCGACTGGGTGGTTCGCTAACATCATTTGTTGGTTTTCGTGACTGAACAGTGCTTAGATACTTCGTGTCTTGTGCGCTGCAAATTGGTCAGTAGTAGATAGTTCGTCACTGTTCTTCTTACGTAGATATTCGGTAGATGCCAATACTGAACAAGTAACTGCTTACCAGGAACCGCTACTCTGTGGAATAGGCTCCCGAGTGGATACTTCCCAGGTCACTACAATCTTAACCTCTTCAAGTCTAGGGTTAATCGTTATCTTTCATACATAGAAACATAAACTGTACTTCTTACCCACTTTTACATTCATACTTCATTCATTAACCATCTACCTTGAGTGGCTCTTGAACCTTGTATTGTGTGATCATTTAGGAAAAAACAGTTACGAGTTGTATCTTGATTTGAAATGTTCACTGCATAATGTTCAACCTATATGATTAGCATTCACCACTGAATTGAGTGCATTGACAAGGAATTAAATATTTGTTGAGTGAAATTGTAAAATATTTTTCATCAAACTACGAATGTAATAATGTACATACACACATATGCACACACACATACACACATGCACACACATACATACATAAGCATATACACAGACACACATTTATAGAGATAATTTTTTATTTTATATTTATTTATTTATTTTAGATATAAAGAAATTGGAATAAATGCCCTCGGAACAATCTGGGATGTTTTACTTCTGAAGGTAATATTGGTTCATTATTTATTAGTGTTTATCTCTCGCTTGATAAATACAAATGCCACTAGTCCTAACCCGAAAACAAGAATAGGGATATTGACTTAGGACAAACCATTTTTCGATCTGGCGATTATTGCTTTATCTGGATATTTTGACATGTTGTAAATGTTAAAAAATTTGAGTCTTCTTACATACGGCCCTGTGCCACATGTAAGCTAGGCTTAGTAAATCCTCTAATTCCAACTAACATATCAACTACCGTATTTCCCGCACGCTAAGACGCATTTTCTTTCCTGAAAAATACCCTCAAAAATTACCCTATGACTCATCACTGGAAGGTCAAGTTGTAGAGAGGGGTTTATCAACTATCACGAACCCCAATCACAATATACAAGTAATCATGAGCCCCAGACATATCATATAAGTATATCCCGTTAGTATCATAGCTTATATTTATTTTTTTCGAGAATTGATGATCAGATAACCAGTAAGCAGGTTTCTACCTGTATTTTAAGTTTTCCTTTAGACATACCGTAAAGGTATCTTCACAAACTCCCACCCCAGCCACGTAATACAGGCTAACAGTTATGTTTCATGTGTACACCAAGAATGACAGTATTATTGCCGCACTTTGTGTACTATTGAAACAAACCAGTTAGCTCAATTGGCCTACCGTTAATTCCAAATATAATGTCAATTCTCAGTAATTAGGTAATGTTAGTTATTCATACAGTAACAGAGGACTAATCTAATTAAGAATTTATCAATAGTTAGTAAATAACTACAAATATTTAACAAGAGGTCCAAAATGTAAATATTTGTGACAAAAAGAAAAATGACAAACGTAGAGTCGGCGACTTGGATTCGCTTGTACGGTAAGCTAATAAATACTCAAATATATTTTTATCTAGCTAATTATAGGGTGCGTTTTATAACATGTAGTGTCTTAGCATACGGTAAATATATTAAGTATAAAGTGATGTGCATGGATATTACATAAGAGATGCAATCTATTCTACATAGCTAGGCAATATACGTTAACTGTGAATATCAGCTAACTAAAAATGGGTTTATTTAATCCATGCTAACAAATAAATACCTAGACAGTAGATAAAGGTTCTTATATAACGGATATTTAAGAACAAATAAAAGTCGTTTCAATTTTGAGACAACGTCTGTTGCCAGTAGCCATAATTTATAAAATCATTTAGTGCAAAAATAATATAAACAGAAAATATTTATCTGTAAGGATTCAGAAGGCGATTATCTCACTTTGGTGGAGATATGTCACATGGGTCACGTAACGACCGCTTACTGACGTCACGCCATACAGTGTCTGAGTGGTGGTCAAATCCAGTTTATTTACATTAACCAAATAGAGAATTTCCTTTCTTTAACAAGAGCAGAAGCTAAATCTTCCTCCCCAGTAGCTTGCATGGTGCCGTTTCCCTTTCGGAATATATCTTTCCCGGATATAAAAAGAAACTCCAGCTCACAGTCCTCACTTTTGGAAAACCCAAGAATTGATGTTTCCTGTTCGTTCAATATGTCCTCGCCTGGAACATAGAGGCATCCGGCCCGTTTGAATCTGGAATCCTAAACATGGCTTCTCCAGAAACAGGAGTATCTCCATATTATATGTAAGACCCTTCCTTTTTGTTTCTCCTTATACTCTGCTTTGCTGTGTAGATATATGTGATATATTATTCTCCGCGTGACACACACACACACACACACACACACACACACACACACACACACACACACACATACATATATATATATATGTTTTTGTGAATGTCTTAGTGATATAAAAGTGTCTATGCGAACAAAGGATGTTCGTCATTCGTTTTCCTTTCAGCCATTCCGTTCTATCCATGAATTACGGTATTATATTACGGATATAATAATACACATAACGGGAGAAATACAAATCGGAGAATAAATCTTTCTTCCATTGCTCTCTCCCGTTATATGTCGTTAAATTATATTGGAATCTACTTAATTAAAATATGCATATGAATTGATTATCTGAGAAAACATTAAAAAAATCAGTTACTATGAAAATACATATATAACAATTTGTAACGGATCATTCCGTTTTGATTGCGAGGAAAGACGGAATTAAAAGATATATCAGATATATTCTATGCTAACAGTTTCTTCTATCGTACTTCTCGTTTGTAGAACTCACTTCCGGCTTCTTGCTTTCCAATCAAGTTTGATCTTCAAAAATCTAAATACAATGTCAATCGTTGTCTTCTATCTTCTTAATTTCTGTTCTTTTATTGTTCTCTCTCTCCTTAATAGTGTTATTGCCTCACACGCACTGTTTGGTTTTAGTTAGAAAGGAAAGCA